AGGCAGATGCTTCAATATCTGTCATTGTATATAGAAACTGCTCATCCTTAATGATTTGGCGAATTTGAGGGCCGCTAAAGATTCCAGCTTTGATTTTCTCCATACTCAAGCCTGGAAAAAATCTGCAAATATATTTGAAACATTGACCATCTTTGTCTAGGGCTCTTACAAATTGCTTCATCAGTCCTAGTTTGATGTGGAGTGGTGGAAAAATAATTTTCCCCCTGTCTACCAGTGGTTCGTTAATGATATTTGATGCACCTACAGTCATATTTTCCCTAGCAGGCCATACCACCTTTTTCCAGTGGTCTTCTTTAGCCCTACTATCCCACAAACATATGAAGCAAGGGTACTTAGTATATCCACTTTGCTGCTCTAGTAAGAAGTTTACCATCTTTAAATCAACACATATAGACCACTGGTGCTCATTGTATCTAACCTTCTGCAACATCATTCTTATATTTTCATATTCCTCTTTCAGTTTTGTTGAGTGAAGTATTGGGATGGATGCATAACTATTGCTATTGTGCAATAAAACACACTTCAAACTTCTCATCGAACTATCTATAAACAATTGCCAATCTTCTGGTCGGTATTCAGGTAACCCCATTTGGAGGAGGAGTCCAGGGATGTTCCTACAGTATACTATTTTTTCTTCTTGAATGAAATATGGAAGAAGTGCTGCCTCTCTTGTCCGAAAAAAAGTTATTTTACATTCGGCCTTCAAACTGTTCTTTTCACTTAGTCTAGAATTAGAGTCTTAAAAAAAGTTCTTAAAGTCTAGAATTTTCACTTAGCCTTAGCTCAGAATCTTGCTTGGATAGGCTTAAGTCTCGTACTAAATCATTGATCTCTTCCTGGGAAAACTGTTGCTGTTTAGAAGTACTGTCTTCATATTCACTACCACTATCTGCATGTTCGCACACCAAATTCTGCATATCTTCTTCATCAGATACTGTTAGATCTAGGAGTGTAGTGAACACTGGAATGGGGACATCGTCTAAGTGTGGTACAGGTCGCCTTGCTGATTCCAAATCCGGATACTCAAATTTACGTTTCTTAAAACGATTGATACCTTTCACATTAACCAAACAAAAATAACAGTCACTGTCGTGATTCTTTTGCTCCCGCCATACCATAGGCACACTAAATTTTAAACCTTTTCTTTGTCCATTTTTCCACTGACGTAGATTTTCGACACACGTTTTACATACAATATGGGGAGCCCAAGACTTATCTTGGTCTCCGAGTTTCATTCCAAAGTATGCCAGATATGCTTGCTTCACAAAATTAGAAATATTTCTTCTTTGGCTCTCCTGGCAATATTCACCACAGATGTGGCAGAATGCGTTGGGGTTATTCAAACATCCTCTTCGTGAAGAACTCATTGTGTTCTAAAAGCAGGAAAAAGTATATATATATATATATATATATATATATATATATATATATATATATATATATATATATATATATATATATATATATATATATATATATATATATATATATATATATATAAAGGTATGCCCTTTAAAAAGAAATAAAACTATTTTACTGTAAAATATGCATGAACGAAGATATTTGTATAAGAATATATCTGGAACACCCTGTATCTCAAGAACTAGAGCCAATCGTGGAAAACTAATGTCATTTCTGAAATCAGCACACCCGATATACGATAAATTCGTAAAAATATCCTCGGCAGCAAAAAAAAAATTTTTTTTTGTTGGCCAGTGTAATTTTTGTTATTACTTTATATTATTTACAAATAATTCACAATATTAATAATTTAAATTTTTTTTCATATAAAACCTTATATTATAACTTAAAATATCAGTTACAGTATTTATAATATAAGTATTATATTATTAATTATATAAATTATAGAAAATGCAAAACATTTATGTATTTATAAATAATGTGAAGTTTAGATATGGCAGTGTTACTTACTAAAACCTTACCATATTTTGTAAAGTGACATTGAGATTTGCTACACACTGAGTGTATTTCTAAGAAATAAGAAATTTAGAGCATTTAAGAAGTTTAAGAGTATGTGTTCTATTATTATGTTGGTGAATTGTACGTTTAGAAATCACGTAGATGCGTGTTGAAAGTCACGCATCTACGTAAGTTATTTCAACTGTAATTAACAGTATATTCTCATGGGACTTTTTAATTTAATATATATAGAGAAAAGATTTTTGTATAAGAGGTTAGAAAGAATATATAAAGCTATAGATTATAAACGTTATTAAATTATAAATGGACGCGACGATAAAACAAGCTATTTCGGCCATTATGCCACCGGTATTCGATGGCAACCATCAGCGGTTCGTCCGCCAACTACGAACATACATAACTGCAATGGACGTACCCGAATCCAAAAGAAAAACAATAATATTAACATGTTTGCCACCACAGATTTATTCCGCACTAGAAGAACTATGCTTGCCTGCATACCCTGAAGATGACTCAGTTACCTACGAAGACATCGAGGAAAACATCATGAAGCTTTTTAAACCGAAGTCATCGTTAATACTACCGAACAGCATTAATTAATTCTGGATGCTCCATTACTGTGGTTCATGCTGAGTCCGCGCATGGGCTTGTGTTAAAAAGTCAAAAACTTATCACAACTTTGGGAGGAACTGTGCAAGTGCTGGGTGAAATGGTAATCAATCTGGAAATTGATGGAATACACCGGATGGTTAATTCTCTGGTTGTAAAAGAAAAACCATTTGGGTTTGATTTGATTTTTGGAATGAATGCAATTAAAAAATTTGGAGGAGTTATCATTTATGGTAATAAAAACTGTAACGTCCGAATGTTAGCATGTGACAAAGCGAAATGTGGTGCCGTTACTACGACGAGAAAAAACGAAAACGAAATAAACGAATTAATAGTTTATGTTATTAATACGACAAGAAAAAGCGAAAACGAAGTACAAAAAATAAAATGTGATGTCAAAAATACAACAAGAAATGAAGAGAACGAAAGAAACGAAATAAAACATCAGGACTTCACAGCAAAGTTCGACGGAAAAAAATGGACGGCATCATGGAACTGGAATAAAGAGCCTGTAATTGATAATACCATTTGTGAATACAAGATGAACCAAGAGCACGAACGTAGTTACCGTAAAGAAATACGTGAATGGATTGACTCTGGTATTCTTGTACCATATAACGAACTAATATTAGGACCACCAAAAGTATTGATACCGCTTATGTGCGTAGTGCAAGAAAACAAGGACAAAAAGGTACGTCCAGTGGGAGATTTCCGAGCTCTCAACGAATTTGTAAATTGTCATACGGCAAATGCGGACGTTTGTCAAGAAAAACTGCGTTGCTCGAGAAAAATAAAAAATGCAAAAATTCTCGATCTTAAAAAAGCCTACCTCCAAATTCATATTGATAAAAAACTTTGGCCATATCAAACGGTGATTATAAATGGGCAACGGTATTGTTTTACCAGGATGTGTTTTGGCATCAATGTGGCTCCAACAATAATGACCACAATTCTTCGGCATGTGCTCAATTCAAATCCAACCGTAAAGAAAGCATGTGATAACTACATTGATGATATATTTGTGGATAAAAGTGTGGAAACTGCGAAAAATGTAGCGAAGCATCTGCTTAAATTCGGTAGCGAAGCATCTGCTTAAAACAATGTAAACCTCCACAAGATCTTGAACAAGGACGTGTCTTAGGATTGAGAGTCGAAAGAAATAAAAATGGGGAACTGATATGGAAACAAGACAATGTGGTACAATTCGAATCTTTAAATGCAGTCACACGATCACAGCTTTTCAGCCAGTTAGGCAAACTTATTGGACATTACCCAGTGGCAGGAAGTTTGCGTTTACAAGCTTCATACATCAAACGTTTAGCTGGAAATATACCTTGGTGTGATTTTATTTCTGAAGATTGTAAAGAAAAACTGAAAGAGTTGCTTTACCGTGTGGAAAAAGAGGATCCGGTTGGTGGAAAATGGCTGGTACCAGTTAATGGAAAAGCTAAGCTTTATTGTGATACATCATCTATAGGACTTGGGGTAGTTCTGCTCATTGGTGGAGTAGTTGTTGAAGACGCAGCATGGCTACGGCCAGTGAGTGACTCACACCATATCAATATAAGTGAACTGGATTCTATACTTCGAGGACTAAACTTAGCTAGTAAGTGGGGCATAAAAGAGTTAACAGTATACAGTGATAGCAAAAGCACCGTAGGATGGTTAAACGCAGTTTTGAAGGAAGAATATCGCGTAAAAACTTGGGGAATTTCTCAATTGTTAGTACAAAGACGATTGAATACTATTAAGGAAGTGGCAAAAGATATTCAGATCGCAGTACAATGGATTCCATCTGAGATAAATTTGGCTGATCGACTCTCACGAATCCCTCAAAAATGGTGCAGAGCAGTGTGTGCAGCTGGATTACTTGAACAAAAAGACATATGGAAAACTCATTCAATTGGTCATCTTGGTGTTGCTCGAACATTACAACTTTGCTTGCAAAATAATCAAAATGTATCACGTAAGGAGGTTTCAGCAGTAATTGCGAATTGTAACCAGTGTAACTCCATTGATCCTTACTCCGTAAAGTGGAAGAATGGCCAACTAAGCGTAGAAAAAAATTGGAATCGGGTTGCCATTGACGTGACGCATGTAGATGCTGAACTGTACTTATCAATGATTGACTGTGGTCCATCACGGTATACAATATGACGTAAACTAGTAACTAAAGCGGCTGCTGAAGTTGTTGGTAGACTCGAAGAAATATTCTCTTTATTTGGTCCGCCAGTATGTCTATTAAATTATAAATGGACGCGACGATAAAACAGTATGCCATGTTTTTTTTTTTTTTTTTGTAAAACTGTTTGTTAAATGAATGTCTAAATACTGCTATTAAAATATTTATACTTTTATAATAGAATTAAAACTGAAATGTAAATAATTTTTTTTTACAAAAATACTAAAAGTGAACCAAATTAAGTTCCTGTTCACTCCAAATCAATCTGTGTAACTGTATATGTGATTTTAAAAGATTTTATCATATTTTCAAGCATAATATTTGCCGTAATCGTTGCACCATATGGGACCCATCTTTTATCCAGTTCAAACCCCAGCCATAACTTAGTTCCAATAATCTAGTTACATCCCTGCTGGGACCCAGGTTGTCGTGGTTAACTGGGCAGTTTATCATTTTTAATATTAATTACTTTTATTTACAAATAATTCGCAATATAAATTTTTCAAATATTTTATTAAAACCTTATGCTACAAATTAAAATTTAATTTATAATATTTATAATATAACTCAAATTTACTTTACAAAACATAATATTACAATGTTTTGTAAAGTGATAATATTACTACTAGTAAGATTTTACTAATGACACTGCCATTTATAAAAATATACTTATTATTTTTTGTTAGTCATTTATTGTTTTATTTTTTAGTTACTAATTATTTTTAAATAATGATATCTAATTTTTTATAGTGTTACATAATTTTTTTTTTCTTTTTAACCATTTTTTTATATATGTTTTATTCTACCGCGTATTATTTCTTTTTTTATTTTTATTTATTATTTTTAATTTATGTTCTTGCTTTCGTCTTGTTGTTGTTGTTTTTTTGTTTTTATTGCCAATAGTACTTAAATAATATTTTTTTTTGCTTGTAATGTTTTTTGTAGCATTTGTTTTGTTTTGATTTTCTCAGAGTTTTTCTGTTTATATTTTATTTATTTATTTTTTCATATTACTTACAATATATTTCAGTTATTATATTACTGTTTGTAACTGCAAGTTTGTATGTAAGAACAATTGTTGTATGGAAAATTATACAGATTTATTTAATTTATTTTAATTACTATATTACTATTACTATTGTTAAAATAACATGTTATTATTATTATTATAAATATTATTTTTATTATTACCATTACTATTATAATCATTATCATTAGGTGTTTATGTAATATTAGTAGTTTGTACTATTTGTAAACAATCTTGAAATGTAATACGAAATATTTCAGAAATATATATATATATATTGATTGATTGATATAAAAACTTTAGATATCATTTGTAAATGCATAAAATGTAAGATTTAACATTTTCTATAAGTAATATTTTTGATAATACATTACTTATACTACGAGAAATATATTAACTATATTACTTATAAAATATGTAAAATCTTACATTTAATAAATGCATAATTTTAATTTTTTTCATAAGTATGTAAAACTTAGGTATTATTTATAAATACATAAACCATTTATTAAATGATTTATGACATAAATTTCACATAAATTATGTGAAAATGAATAAGGGATCGTCCACAAATTACGCAACGCAAAGATTATTTTAAAAATATAAGTAGGAGAACATTTTGCTCTTTTGAGCGGCGGCTTTCGCTGGACTTGAGGGGTTATTTATACATGGATTAATTAAAGACTCTGCGAGGGAAAACTTTTAACACTTTGTCTTTTGTCTATTAGTTAAATTTTGCGTTACGTAATTTATGGACATGTAAAGTGCTACATAGTAAAACTTTGCTATGCATTGTAAAAAAAATTTGTCAAAGTCATATTACAAAACATAGTAAATTCAAAGGTTTTTCAAAAAGTCTATGAGATTTGTTTGAAAAAAAAAAAAAAACTAAACACACTATTTATTTTTAAAATTTTTAAAAATAGTTATAAGGTTTAGTTTGCTTACAGTAATGGCTTAGTCTAAGCCATTACTGTAAGCAAACTAAACCATATAAACTAATTTTAAAAATTTTCAACATTTGTTCATTGCATAAATAAAAAAATATGCTTTTAGTTCAATAAAAAATTTATTTAGTGATGTGCCGGGTACCCGGTTCGGACCCGGGGACCCGGCAATTCGGCTGTTTTACCGGGTACCCGGTATCGGCCATTTTGTTGCAGTACCCGGCACCGGGTATCTTCAAATTGATTTTTCCTTAAGTTTAAACTTTAACCATTAAACTTCTTGATATAAGTCTAAGAATATTATGTAGTCGATAAAAACAAAGGTCTATTAATTTTAAACAGTTTCACTTAAAATATTTTTTAGTACATTTTTGCAAAAAAATTTATACGGATACAAAAACTGTAACGCTAAATGAAATAATTCGAGAATACAAATAAAAAGAATAGGAAAAAAAGTTTTAGAATAGCTTCTTTTTATTCTGTTAGTACAAAAGATAATTTTTAGCAATTTAGTTTAGAATGAAACGCTTATAATGCTTTCGAACGCTGATACCACTTTTCATTCGTATCAAGCAAAAATCATAAAAGTAGAGATATAAGGTAAATATTATTTAGGCTCGCTCCACCAGGAAAGAAAAAAAAATTTAAACTAAATATAGTTATTAAAAAACTGTTGCACAACTTACCCTGCTCCCTTACCCTGCATTGCGGGGTTTTGCTAAATGGTACTTCCGCCACATAACTTTTGGTTAGTTAGCATAAAAAGCGTATTTTGTATGAATAGTTCAGCGCTAGAGATTTTACAAGTTTTTATTCCAACTTTTAAAAAATGACTCGGTACCGAGTACCCGAACTCGGACCCGGTTTTTTCAGCCGGGTACCCGGAATCGGAGACTCGGCATAAACTGGTTTCGGCACATCTCTAATTTTTTTACAAAAATACAATAAAAAAATCAAATGAATTTACTGTGTATATTTACTCTAAATGCAAGTGTATATTCAATCTATATCAAGCCGCGTTACTGCATATGACATTTTAAAAGAGTTTTGTAATTTTATTTCAACAAAACTTTTTAATAAAAACGATGCTAAAAAAACTGCTTTGATAAGAGAATACACGCTACTTTTAAACCACGCGTCTCACCTTTTTTTTTTTTTTTAATATATTTCGCTGTTTATATAAAAATAAAATGGCCATCTGGCACCCAGAACAAATCCCAACCCGAACACAATCCCATTAATCCCAGTCAATCCCAGCTGTGGATTAGTGGTAGTTTGGTAGTTTAGTGTTGTTGCAAAAAATATTTTTTTAATTGGGAGCTGATGTGAAAACAACCTTTATGTTTTGCCTTCGAAATTTTACAAAGTTTTGGATCAACAATTGGTATCCAAGGTAGTTTTATAAAGGATTGGGTGTCTATTGTTTGAAATGTGGTGTTTTTTGAACCGTTTTTTAAATAGTCTATAGTAATATTGTTTAGAATGTTCAAGATGTCTATTAGAAAATTAATTTCTTTTTGAAGGTGTTTTTGAGTACATATTCTTTTAGCACGACATAAAAATCCTTTAAAAACGCCAATAATAATGTTAGGAGTAATGTTCGAGTTAGGTTTAAGTTGAACATTTGTAATAGCTTCTTTTTTATTTATTTGAAATTCATAAGTTCCAGAGCCTGTGTTTGTAATATTAATATCTAGGAAATTGAGTTTTTTGAGGTTGTTTTCAAGTTCCACTGTGTATTTTATGGCAGGATGTTGTTCATTAAGGATGTTCAGCAACATTTGTTGTTGTTTTATTGAAGCAATCTTTTTCTGGTTTCTAGTTTATTGGGTAATCTTTTTCTGGTTTGTGAGCAATAATCATTCCGTAAATCCTTGGTGGGTTACAATCTGATGGATACATTTTAAAGTATGTATTTGTGTCTAGTTTACCTTCTTTTCTTAATTCGCACAATTGTCTTTGAAATTTTGTAGTCAATGTGGATGTTGGATCATAATCAATAATTTTGCTATTTTTTATTTGTTCTTCTAATTTGAGAGATGCATCTTTTTGATTTAATAATGCGAAACCTGTGCCTTTATCGAAAGGGTATATCTTAATGTCAGAACTGTTTTTTAATTTGTTTATGGAAAGACGTTGTTGCTCAGTTAAATTATCTTTTAATCAGTATTTTAGCGAATTTGATAAAATTTGTGGACAGTTTTGTCGTAGAGTTTTTGCCTGTGTTGGTTTTTTAAGTTTTTCAAGTTGTAAAGCGCAAGTTTGGATATTAGTTATAATATCCATATAAGGAATTTTTCTCGGCAGTGGTACAAAATTTGGACCTAAATTGAGTAGCTCTGTTGTTGATTTACCCAGAGTAACATTAGTTAAATTAAGTATAGCAGGTTTAATAATTTGATTGGGAGGATCAAAAGTATTTTTTATTATCGGTGTAATTTGTAATTTATGATATTTTTTTTTTCTTTCATTTCCGTTTTTTTTCTTAATGTAATGGTAATTTTTTGATTTGTTGGTTATACTATTAATTAATTCATAATCGTGTAATCTTAGGTAGAAACATGATTCCATAGCGCAAAGTTAGGTGACGTAATGTTTATTTTTTGACGAATAATTAAGTATTTAAGATGCGAAAAGCATTGTTAAATTATTTGTTTTATGCAATGGTTTTATGTGAATATTTAATTATCGGTCATGCGTGGTTATATGTTTTTATTAAGTAGCTCAATACAAAGTTTGTGAAACATGATTTTATAATATAATACAAATGTGTTTATATAATGAATATATAATTCATGATATTATAATGAAATTTGTGATCATAATATTAAAGTAAAACGCGATTGTTAAGATATTTTGATATTAAAGAAAACTAAATTATAACATGTTTGCTGTAGTTGGTTTGTTTGTTTATTAGTCATTTTGTGAAGATGGCTTGGGAATTATTTCTAAAACCAAAATTTTGGTTGCATTAATTATCTTGTAAAGTTATAACAAGCACATTCTTGAGTTTTTTCTTAATTTTTTTTATCTAAGTGCTTTTACTATGATAAAAAACTTTATGCAAACAACAACAACAGCAGCAACAGCAAAATTTTTATTTTCTTCAAAGTTTACAATCATATAATTACAATAATATAATAATAATAGTAATAATAATAAAAATAACAATATCTATAATCATAAATAATAAAATCATATTATCATTATATTATTCAGGTTTGTACAGTTTTAAAGCTATGGTGATGGTTTATATTTTAGCCAATCTAAATATCAACTTGATGTAGACAGGGTCTATACAAATGCAAATATTATAGTGAATTCTGGTGTAATTTCACAGAACATTATTTTTCAAAAAGTGTAAAAGTTTTTGTGTGCAAGAAAAGAAACTAAAGATTTTCTAATTAAAGAAGAATATGCATCATGTTTTCGATAATATTTTTGTACATCTTTTTACATAACATGGTTTGATCAATTTTGAGAATACTTCCCATCTAGATTGGCAGGGAAAAATTTTTTATAGCAAGTTAAGTTAACAAACCTACTTTCAACAAAGCTTATAATAAAAAGTTTGCAAAATAGTGTTTGTATAGATTTATGTTCTGTTGTACATTTACTATAAACAAGTGTATGAATTCAGAATTAGAAATTTAGTTATAAATTAAAGTTAAATTGTCCAACTCTAATCGCAATTTTGATAAAATGATTTTAGATTATTAAAATAGTAGCAATCAGGTTGAAAAAGCACCTGAAAATGATAAACTTTTTGTTTAATATAGATAGCTGTGCTAGATACAAGTTGCAGATATGATCAAATATTTTATGTCAAGCAAGGTTCTGATTTTAAACCAAACAAACTTATTATCTGTTGATCTTCTGCTTTGTTTTGAAGTTCTATGAGTTCAGATAGATATAAAAAACATTTAGCTCAAATTAGTAGCCAATGAGGTGATTTCAAAGTTTCATTTTCTCAAATTTTAAATTAAAAGGAGAACAACAGACATTACTAGATAAGCTATGAATTGAATGCATATATTTAAATATAGGTCAGATCGATTACCTCTATATATATGTTATATTATATATATATAATATATATATATATATTTTATATATATAAATATATATTTTTATATATATATTTTTTTCATGTAAGTTTTAATTTATATGTAAGTCCACAAAGATATAATTTTATTTAGCCTTATATTTTGTTAAAAGTATATTTTAATTATATTTTATTATGTTTTAAATTATATGTTTTTAATACTTTTTTGGTGATACAAAAGATGTTTTGTTCAATGCAGATAGGCCAACCATATAAAGGACAAAAACAATTGACCCTCGACTCAGGCTTAAGGGTCAATTAATGCAATTTTTAAAAGCTTATTTTTGAAGTATACAACCCTGATGCCTTGACGGACACAATCACATGGAAGTAATAATACAATACTAAATGAAATCATAAAATTTAAAATTTGCATTTACTTTACTTTGCTCTAAAATCAAGTAATAATAAAAGTCCCAAACCATATACCATTAAAAATAGGTACCTAAAAGGTCATTTTATAGTTATGGTTTTAGGATTTCAACCTAACAGTACCGCGGAAGAAAACTAAAAAATAAGGCAAAAAATAATATCAAACAAAGTTGCTTGGTAGGATATGCTGGGGTAATCCCAACCCCTACTTCTAAAAAATCTTTAAAACCACTATATAAAATAAAAAACAAGAAAATAGTACAAGAATTCCTTTAATTTACACATTAAGCAAATTGCTAACAAAAATTAAAATTTTTACAAAACAACAAAAAAAAACATTTAAAAATTTTTTTAAATATGTACAAAATTTACCGGTTTTCAAAAAAAATTAAAATACCTTTTTTTTTTAATTTTAGTATAAATTTATACATGAAATGATGTTAACATGATAAGTAATAAGTAAAAATAAATTTTGAACCAAAACTTCCTAAAAATAATAATATTCATAAATATACATAAAGGATTCCTGAAAAAACATTTTTTTGATTTTATGTCAGCGAGAAATGCATCGTCACTAAAAGTCAGAATTACTGCCATCTTCTGTAGATAGTTGTGAGCATTTTAAACAGCACCATTTATCGCAGCGACCATACATAAAGCTCAGATCGCAAACCTTAGGGTCATCTATATTTACCCACATTATGCACAAAATTAGTTTGTATGCGGCATCACTCACTGTTGCTTTTTTCTAGTCTTTCCCTTTACCTGAAATGAAAACAATTTTCGATTTGGCTTTTGCCTAACTTTCTACAGTGAGCCTAGCAATGCATTCATCTGAAGTGAGGCTTTCGCCATACTGCCTTTTTATGACCTTTCCTCTCGTATTCATTTGCAGCTTTCCTAGTTTTTCAAGAAAGGTGTGATTTTTGACCCATGACTAATATTATCTAATACGAAATACAGATGTTGATTAATTACCATGTTGCTTAAGAATATTTACAAGCCAAGGTTGGAATTTTGTAATTAAAAATTTCAACATCTAAGACGAAATTCAAATTTTGTAATAAAATATATCACCATCTATGTACACATTTAACGCATCAAAAAAAATAAATGATTAAATAAAATCAATGAAAGTATATTTTATAGTACATTTATGTTGAACAAATTTCTAAATCAGTATGGATACAGGAAGCATATACTTAGTGAGAAACAGAAAGTTGGTAGTCAAAAACATGAATTAAAGATGGTTCAAGTTTTTTTAGTTTATTTGTGTTGTTACATATCTTTTTAGGGGGTGGAATTACTCCGGGGAAAGAATTACCCCTGTCTACCCTACAATTGTTTGAAATAAGTTTATATCATTTGCGTGTTTTGTGACATTATTTTTGCCAAAGCATTGTTTAATTTGCTAAAGTTAGTACATAAACTATATGTAATTGCTAACATTATGCTACTTATAACACAGTCCAATCTTTTATCGTATCCCATAAATTGTTGTTTTTATATTGAAAGTAGTTTATAGTTTTCAAAACCTTTAAATCATTCGCTGACATTTTTAAAGAAATCTTTGTTGCGAGCCTTAAAATTTTAATATAGTAACAAAATTGCAGCTTTTTATCCCTTAACTTAAATGTAACTAAGTTTCAAATTTCGGCAAAACACGGTTAAAATTCCTGATTCAAGGTGCAAGTAAACCGAATATATTTGATTTCAATTCAATTATTTCAATTTTTGATTGATAGTTTCTTTAAATTAACGTTTTTTTTTTTTTGAGAAAAATCTACACTTTATTTAGTTGACGATTGTGCCCCTCTACTTCAAAACCCGTGTCGTCGACCTTGCTAACATGCCACTTTTTTATGTTCAAACAGTAGTTAATGCGTAGTAAGCCTTTAAAAGTAGGATTTAAAAGTAGATCCGTAATCCAAGCATGCAAGATCGGCAAACCAAAACTCTAATTTTCTTTTTAATTAAGAATATTTTTTAACTTATCATTCATTATTTTTGGAGTAACACCACAAATTAAACATTTTTGTTACATTAGTGTAGAGCGCGTAAATAATAGTAACAATCATTTCTCAACCACAATGGGACAAACGCAAACAGAAACTCAATATTAGCATCAGAGATTTCAATTTTTTTTTTTAGGTATTGTGGTCAGAGGTTCTATCACATAAATTTTTTATAATTTGCTTATCAAGGTAAGTGACGCATTTTTTGAGCAATTGTCATGCGTTTCAATTAAACGTTAAGTTGTTTTTTCACTATGTTGTTTTGGTTTTCATAGTAAATATAACAATATTCAATTTTTTTACGTAGATTTTTTTCAAATGTTATTGAGGCACAAGACCATGCAAACTTATCTTAAATTTTAAATAGTCGCCTAAACGAATTTTTATTTTTACTTAAAAAGTTATCATTCTGCAAATTGCATTCCACTATTTTTTCAAATTTAGCGGATATGCTTGTAATTATTAGATGTACTATTTTTTCGAATCACCAATAACAACTGCAGCACTGTAATCTTTCAGAATAAAATCTCACAGAAGAATTTTGAGAATTCGAAGAGAATTTCGATTTTAAAATAAACATTACATTTTCAAAAACTGCAATAAATTAAAAAAGTACAATAATAAATATAGCTCGTAAAAAAATTTGAAAATTAATATGATAACGTGCACCAAGTATTGTATTTTGATCTTCATTTCTAGATGCTTTCACATAGTTTTAATGTTTTTTTTATATCTCATTAGTAGAAGAACGACTTTTCACCAATAAACAAAACGTTTGGCTTTCTTTCAGTTTTGTTCTTATCGATTCACAGTTTGATTTGAAAAGATCGATCGACGTAAAAAGAATTTAAAAGACATATAAAAATAACATTTTTAAATTTAAAATTCCTTACTTATATAAGAAATAAGTAATAAACAACTGACAATTACATAAAAATTTAATCAAAGTTATTTGGGAATAAAGTTAAAAAAACAATGACTTAAAAAACATATCATAGAACATTGTTAAATACTCAATAAATATTTCCTAATCACATAAACTGTTATTAAATGTTGTAACATCTTTACTTACATTGAGGTCCTTTAAACAACACAAGTTTAAGACGTCTTTACACATAAGTCTCTCTATATAATATATTTTCTAAAAAAAGGCTAATAACTATGTACAGCAATAATATAAATAAATTAACATTGGTAATATGTTAATACATAAACTTAGCTTATTACATTAAAGTTAGGTAACAAATACAAACTATACTATTTTATTATATTCAAGTTTTTTTAATTGAAATAATGTACCATTTACATTAAATATGTTAAATTGCAAACAGGTGGCCACCATAATATTCCCATTGATAGTACTCTAAAACAGATCATTAGGTTTTACGAGGGCTTATGAATAAAAAGATAGTAAAAATAAGTCTATAATAAAAACAATTAAAAAAAGTCTTACTTTTTAACTCTTTCTCGTCATCTCCCAATATTGTTTCTATTGGTTACTTGCTCAACACACAAAATGAAGTTTTTTTCCATATTTATGTATTGATCGTCTTGACAATCTTACCACTAAAGTAGCTTAATGGCTCATTTTGCTGATGATAAGCTTGCTTCATATGGTGTATCTGGGAAAGTTTTTAACATTATCAAATCTTTACTTTTGAACTGCTTATTGAAATTCATCCTTGAAGGCTAACCCTCTTCTTCACTTCCAGTAACTTCTGGGATACCTTAAGGTTTTATCCTTGGTCCTGTTTTGTTTCCTATCAACATTAATGATCTTCCCGACAACCTTACGTCTAAAGTGGCTCTATATGCTGATGACTCAATATTATATTACTGACTTGACAATGAGTCTTATCATTTCCATTGCAAAGAACAGACAATCGACCTTGAATCTGATCTCACCTCTGCAACAGATTATAGCTTGCAGTTACATGGGAATTTTAACTCCTACAAAACTCATTAACTGCAAATTACTATTGCAATATTGTTGACATCCTATATTGATAAGTCTAATTTTTTTATCTGTCCATGTATGCTCTAAAAACTTTTATTTGTCTAGTTTTTTCCCTGTACTTTAACCCTTAGGAACTTTCTCCTATCTTGTTTTCCTAACTCATACAACCAACAATATTTCAAGTCTTCTATCAACAATATTCCAAGTACCCATATTTTACCCATATTTTCAAACTATTTAACAAGTGCTTATTAGAGTCTCATTTTCCAGAATGCTGGAAAGCGGCATCTATTATCCCTTTTTTCAAGAATTCTGGAGAGCGATCTGATTTGTCTAACTACCATTATATCTGGTAACATCTTTAGGATTATTGAGTCCTTTCTTTCCAATTGTAGTATAACAGTTGTCCTTGATTGACAGCACTCTTCTTCATATCCTGTAACTTCAGAGGTTCCTTAAGGTTCAATCCTTGGCCCTATACTCTTTTTTTTTTACACCTATACTCTTTTTTTTTTACACCAACGATCTTCTTGATATTCTCACATTTATAGTGGCATTGTTCGCTGACGACACTACCATTTACCATTATACTATAATGGGCACTGCTTTAAAGAGCTAGCGCCCCTTGTGCGATTTACTAAAAGTTATGCTCGTGTTACTTGTCATTCAATTAAATCTCATCCTTTTTCTGTGACTGTTCCCAAGTGTTTCAAAAACTCTTATTAGTCTAGTTTTTTAACTTGAACATCAGTTCTTTGGAATTCGCTTCCTTCATCTTGCTTCCCTGATTTATACAATTTGCTCTCTTTTAAGTCGTCTGTTAATCGTTATCTTGCTCTACAAACTTCATCTTTCCTCTTCCAGTAACTTCTAACTCTTATAGTGGTTGCTTACAGCCTTGTTGTAAGTGAAAATGTAAAAAAATAAAAAAACAAACGCTTCCTTGCTCATAAACTCTATGCTTTATTTTCTAGTAACTCCTAACTTAATACTGGTTGCTTGCTGCCACTTGTTAAAAGAACAAAAAAGATTCATTTGATGTATAATTTTACTTTAACCTGTTAAAAATGCACTTATTGCAGTTACAAGTAGAAATTTGTTAAGAAAAATAAGTTTTTTTGTTTGCAAAAATTTCAATTTAGTATTCCTTAAAGAGGGAAATTTAAAACAATGCTCAAAAAATTCAGTTATAAGGAAGAAAAATAACAACAGCTGTTAAAAGAATACCAATACTGTTGGTGCTATGTTTCTTTTTTTTGATATAGTTTAATCACCATCACTTTTAAAGCTGTGGTGTAGTGGTTAGAGTTCTGGCTTAGAACCAAGAGATCTGAGGTTCAAGTGTGGCTCCAGCCATATACACAACATCAGTAAAGAAGGAGGAGTGAAATTCTTGATAATAGGTCTAGGAGGACCTTAATAACTAATAATAATTAAAACGTCTTCCATTCCAGTGTTTTATAAATGTCTTCTTTCACATTAAGGTTGTACACTTTTAATATAATCGCAAGCTCAAATTAAAAAAAAGGTGGAACATAGCTAATTATTTACATGCAAAACAGACCCAACACTTTTCAGCATTTATTTTTTTGAATATTTCATCTGATATATTTTCGCATTTTCTATGAAACCATTCATTGCATACATCACATTGCACCATATGAAGAGCAGGGTTCTTTGCATGATACCACAACCAATATGATCGGCACGAGCAAGAAATTTGTAAAGTTATAATTTCTTCCTTATTAAAACATACTTCTGTCTGACTAAGTGGAAAAGTTGCAAAATTTCTTGTTTTGATAGATTCAAGGAAGTGTTTCCTAATCTTGTTGCTGTCTAGAGCCAATGTTCCAATGTCAATATTACTTAGTATACTAAATGCATAGGCTATCGCAAAAACACCACAATCTACCCCATTAGTTTGCTGTTGACATTTGCGTACATGAATAGTTAATTTTTTGCCTTTAGTTTTGTAAATATTACAAATTTGTTGCTTTACGTGATCTTTTACTTGTCCGTGAAAAAGGTTGTCATAATAGCAAATAGTATCTACTGGACAATTCACATTTGAAACCATAATCCAATGATATTGACCATTATATAATATTTGAATGAATTGACCCTTCTCTTCTTTGAACAAATATTTTTCCCCTAAGATTGTATCTTGAAACCCTGATTTAATATGAAATTGATTTTTAAGAACTGATTGGGCAGCATTGATACTTAGATCTGTTAGCATTTCATTATTCTCAATTAGATGTATTTCAGCTTGTGTCAAGTTAATCTGGTTATTGTTGTCAAGCGTAATCCATTCAATGCTGCGTTCCTCTTTCATTGTTTCTACATCTTTTTCTTGTAGCATACTTAACAGATTGTTGTTGTCAAACATTTCAACGCAATATTCTTCGATATCTGCATCAAGATTTTCACACGTCTCCATTTGTACCGTTTCAAAGGGTACTTTTTGTTTTTTATTTGCTGTTTTTGCAGAATTTTTTAGGGATCTGAGTTTTTCTGCACCCACCCCATGCCGCCCTGAAAAAAAATCACGTTTTTTTCTTAAGGGAATATTGAATTTTTGAAACTTATGCTTATTTTTCTTAACAATCGGTTGTAACTGAATGCCTTGTTCACTTGGAATGCATTTGCCAAATAAGTTTTTAATTGTTTTTAATACTTCTATACCATTTTCTAATATCTCCTCATTTTCAATGAGAAATGATTCATTGATCAATTGTTTGGCAAGATCTCTAAACACTGCAGCCTTAGTGTTAAACCATGTTTTTTGTTTAGGAAGTTCTTCTAATATTATCTCCTTAGAATGTATTTCTTTGTCTTTTGTTTCTGTTTCGGTTATTGGTTGCTGATTCAGATTAACAGATATGGCTTTTTCAGCAAATACAATTTCTTTACCTAAGTTCAAAAATGGTGAGTTTATATATACGTTTGACAAAGTGTACCAATTCCATGAAGGGTATTTATTAAAGACAGCAAAGAAATGCTTGCAAAGATACCCTGTTGTTATCCAATCCTGGCAAGTGCAATTGGGCATATTATCTGAATCACCAAAGAAAATACTATAAAATTCACGAGAGTTTGTAGAAGATGCACATAAAAACTTGCCAGGTTCACTGACTAAAACTCCAGACAAGTCAATATGTTGTGCAAGAGACATTTTTTGCAAGCAATGCTTTACAAAGTGTCTTGGTCTATCATGTAGAAAAGATGGTAGGTAAGAGCTATACTGACGGTAATTTCCACTAGATCTTGTATTAATCTCACAGTATCTAGAAAGAAAATTCATTTCTGGTAATTTCAACCTTATCGAATTTACAATTAATTAAAAAATCAATTAGCATATATTGCCTAACGGAATAAATGTTATTAATGAAATGTAAGCTCTTATATATTACTGCATGACTTATATAAGAAAAACTGTTTTAGTTAAACAAAACTATTACAGTAATTATATAATGTAAAAAGTAAAAATAATATCCATAGAAACGTGCTCATAATAAAAAACTTGTAACATATAATAATAAATGTAATAAAATCAACTCAAAAAGTACCTATTGTATATATCTGGAAAATGTTCTTCAATAAGTATTGTAAGCATAGAAGATAAGGAAGAGTTTTGGTGCTTTTTTAAGTGAGTATGTTTAAATGTTTTATTCTGTCTTTCAACTCCATTGTTTGTATTAATACTTACCATTAATCTATCCTTACGATAAAAATATGCCCATCTCTATTAATAAATGCAAATACAAGTAAATGTCTAAATTGCTAAATAGTTTATAAAAATCTAAATAGAAAATAATTAAGAGCAACTAAAGTTAAAACCTCAATTTGTGGTAACCACTGCTTTTCTAGCCAGTTAACCATATTTTTGTGATTTGGATTTTTATAATAAACACTCTCTCTCAAATTTACCAGTGCTATATTTAAATCTATATAAGATTAAGCTCTAGCAATCTTTCTTAGCTTGCAGAGCATTACTGTTTTAATTTCACTACCACCATTGTTAACTTTATTAAACCACCGTTCCCATGCTTGTTCGCGATGAAAGTCACATACAAGAACTTGGCAATCTAAAAAATGCATTACAACTTTATTGCAATCCAGATCTATTAACATTATTCAAAGTATTAACATTTTCACATATTGCAAATATCTCAATAGCAACAAATAAATAGGATACCTGGATGTAAAAATTCAATAGCATTAATCTCTTCTGCACAACAGTCAACCATAAGTAAGTAGGATTCCAATTGGGATTCCACTCTTTTATTTTACTGAGAGCTTTTTGAATATTTACTGCTGATTCTCCTTTGCAAACAAAAGTACCCACAGTTTGGTAGTCTACATTTGTTTTTACAACAAGGAAAAAAAGGGGTAAAGAATATTTGGTTGTTTTATATGTTGCGTCCAAAAGGGTAATTTCATTGCCATACATTTTTAATAATCTTTGCATTTCTTCACTTTGATAAACAAACAGAAAGCTTTCACCTGAGGTTTCTACAACAATCTCAATGTCATCATCATTATCACTATCATCTTTGACAGTTTCAATCTCATTTATGTCTGTTTCATCTATGTATACAGTCAAAAAATAAGTAACAAAACATCTTATTGTGAAAAATAAACTTTTTTAGGTTACTTGTTTTAGGTTACTTACAGGAAAACATGTTTTTGAGAAATACTTTTATAATTATTCTAAGAGCAAATTTAATCACAATTTATAAAGCAAAAAATTAATCAACCAAAATTAACTTGCATTGATAAAATTTAACGATTCCCGAAGGAGTAATGTAAAACTGTAAAAAAATGTAAAACAAATGTTTGATGATAAAATATAGAAAAAAGGTCAGCAATTTTTTGCTGACCTCAAACACTTTTATGTCGGCATTGCCAAATGCCGACCCTAATTCTGATATATATATATATATATATATATATATATATATATATATATATATATATATATATATATATATATATATATACACACACACACACATAGAGGCTTGATCGAGAAGCGCGTGCAATCACACTATATTTCTGACCACGCAAATTATATTTAGTTGCAACTTCTTGGCCATGGTTTTTTAGATGTTTTGAGAACATTTAAATTTATGCATGTTATTATGTATGTGTAAAACCTTTTGATACACAAAAACAATTACATTTGTAAATAATCTTTTGTAACCAAATGATTTAATATTAGCAAAGCAAAAAAAGCCTTCAATCTAAGCGATGATTCACTTTTATTGATTGTTTATAAAAAAAATATTTTTAATTTTATTTTTTAAATTATTTAAAGTTAAGTATTATTAATAATTATAATAAAAAATTATATAAATAATAATATAAATTAATTTTTTATTTTTTAAATGTAATCTTTTAAAAATGTTTGTACAATCGATTTTATAAAAATAAGACTTTCAAAAAACAATCAACTAAACATATAGAAACTTACAGGCGACTGAACATAAACATACATATAAACATAGTGAATTGAGTTGATGAACCAAAGGGTTGCCATAGAGTCAAACAAAATTCAAACATACATTTATATAGTGATTTACAAAGAACCAGCATCGCTGGGGCGGTGCTGGTTAACATAGAGATTAAAAACGTACAAATATAGATCATAATAGATCATATATAATAGATCATAAAAATCATTATTGATCATTCATAATAGATCATATATAATTCATCATATAGACCATAATAGAACAAATAGAGATCAAAAACATAGAGATCTTAAAGGTACAAATATATTAAAAAGCCTAATCTTTAAATACATCAGCGGTATTGTGAAGCAGTTCCGCTTCCTCTTCATAAATATATTTTACCACTTTAGTTAAACCATTAAAGTTTACTTTTTAATAGTTTGATGCAATAAAAACGTGCTTCTAGTTCGCAAAAGACAAAATAAATTCACTTAGAATGTAATATGCCTTTTAGATATTAATTTATAATATATATTATAATATAATAAGTCGGTAGACTTTAGTAAAATATAAACTTATTAAATGTAAATATAGCGTGCAGTTTGGAAACTGGTCATTATAGACTGCTGTTTCAGGGTTTGGCACATAGCGGATTTTTTTAAAACATTATAAAGACTCCTAAAAGAAAAGGTCGTTGTAATATTTTTATAGTAACGCAACAATTTAATTTTTTTTTTTGTTTATCTTACTTGAGAAGAATTATTTTAAATACTTTAAACTTTACAAATTACACAATGCATGAAATGGTTGTAAAAAAAACTTTTTTTAATCACTTTTTTTATTTATTACATAATTTAGTTTTCAAAGATCAAAGCTTGTTTGCAGTGGTCCTACTAATTTGAGAAATAAAAATGTTGAAACTGCTTTGGTCATAAATGAAGCCCTGCTTTATCTATGTTGACGCATGAAAGATACATGTCCTTGGTGGACAAAAACTATATTTTCATTTATATTATGAAATAATTTATAATTGGTTAATTAGTTGAGGATCTTAAACTTATACATCAAATCATTTTAACATTTAACACACAAAATACAATATAAAAGACAGATTTTATTGCTTTTCCTTTTGGTTGAAAAAAAAACTTTTGACGAGGATTTTGAACTTTCCATTGGTCTATTTTTTTCATGAGACACTCTTGGTCTATATTTGAATGCCTTTTTTTTTGTATTGCATCCAGCATATAATTACGAATAATTTTATTTGATGGGAAGAACCTTTTATTTGATCTTATTGGACACACATTATTTTGAAATATTTCTTTAGTGACAATGATCTCTAATCTTCTCCTCATTTCATCTACATTTTTAATGAGACCAGCAGATGCAAATATTTCATCTTTTAATCTTTGATCTATTGGCTGGGATATACCAGCTGCCTAATTACACAAAAAACAATCAAATTTAAAAAAAATTCAATATAAAAGCAGCAGATTATGTTTATAAAATTTTTAAAACATTTGTTTACTATTTTATATATGGAATAAATAAAAATATGAATACATTTGTACTAAAGACTATATAATTGAAGTGAAGAGACTAAAGATATTACTGAATGCTTTATTACACAGTGTGTATATATATATATATATATATATATATATATATATATATATATATATATATATATATATATATATATATATATATATATATATATATATATATATATATATATATATATACACATACACACACACACACATGTAAATGAAATTTATGATGACATAGTCAATATTTCTTAGCTAAATCTCAGTTGCCTAGTTCAGAGTGTATAAAAGTAGGCATATCAAATAAAGAAAGATGTCATATATTTAATTTTTTTTTTTGGTAAACTTGAAGCTGTGTTTTGGAAAGTGTTAAAAAAAATCTAACAACTGTAGATGGTAGATTTAAAATAAGAACAGCTGTTTCTTGCAAACTTTTCTAGTAAAAATACGGGTCTTTGTAAGTCTATTCTAAACTGAACTTTTTTATCCTTTTTCCTTATATATCCTAGCTTTCCGGATCCGTAAAACATGGGTCTTTACCAAACCTAACATTTCTATACTTATCTATTCCACACTGATTATTTCTATACCTATTCATTATTTACTTCAATATTTTTTAGTAAAATAATTTTTTTCAAAAAAATTTTAGCAAAAAAGTTAACATGCGCACCTTTTCTGCAGAACTTATAAGAGAACTTTTAACATACGTAGAGCTTATAAGAGACTTATAATTAGTTTTGTTTTTCTGCTAAATGCATTTCATTGATAGCTCAGTGGTTAAGTGCGCTGTCATCAGTGTTGTTTTGGGGGGTTTAAGACCTCCTCTTATCGTAATAAATTTTAAATTTAAAATAAAATTTCAAAGTTTTCTCATTTTATAAATATATTATATGTTTAATGCCTGCAAACTCAACATATGCTAAAGACATTTACCCTTATGTACATTACACTAAACAAATGGAACTAAGAAGATCTTAGACCACTAAAACATAGTCATAAAAAAAAGTTCATTCTCATGATTATGATTAAAAAGTAAAGAATAATATTAAACGCTAATCTAAAAGTTGAGCTAAAAAAAAAAAAAAAATATAGAGCAGATATGGTGTACAATTAAAAGAAGCAATGACTACATTTTATGTGGTTGTATTTAGAGAACAATAAGTGATAATTTAAAACACTTTTAAAACATAACCCCATTAAAGAAAGTTAAAAACATTTCTCAAGAACTAAAATATACTCTTAAGTGATTTCAATTTTCCATCCTTGAATATGATATAGTATTCCAGTTATGAAAGTGTCTGCATTTGACAAAAAGAGAATTTCTTGAATAAATCTAAGAACGTTCTCCTACACAAAATGTAACAAGACCAAAGTTCCACTAAATGACACAAAAATTTCACATTTATTAGATTTAGTGTTTACAGCCTTTATTATATCTCTAACTTAGTATATAAGAATCCTTTAAAAAAAATGAAAAGCGGTTACAATGTTTCAAGTTGCAATTTTAATTATCAAGCAGACTAAAGAGAAAATATCAATACAAGTAAAAATAAGCAGAAACAAGTTTACAAGTTTATTGAACTTGATGTTACTCAGTGTCAAGAAAGATTTATCAAAGTTGAAGAAAATGCATGTAATGATTTTATACCATTATTTTAATCAAAAAAGAACTAAAAGCAGAAGATCTCTATAGATGCATAAAGAATTGAAATACAAAATTCAACTCAATATTAATAACTCAAGCACAGATCAAAACTCTTCATTAAAACACTTAATAGCTTCAGCACGCAGTCAAAATGTTGAAGTTTGTACGAAAAGTGTTACATATATTAGGAATAGTAAGAAGTACTTAACCGTCAAAGAACCATCAGCAGGAGCATTTAAATTAAAGGCCTTAAGCAATCCAGATCAAGAGAAAAAGAGCCACTTTTTATACTAGATACAAGAAAGTTTATACATGTTTTAGACAATATTAAAATAACAGTATCTAAACAACACCAATAAGTATAGCAATTAAGAATGTCCGCAACTATTTTTTTGTTGGTTTAAATAAATGGAAATATATTAATATAAAAGTTAAAAATTTACTAAAATTTATATAAAAAAACTTTAACAACATGTCTGAAAAATTAAACTAACTTTAGGATGTTTAAAACATGCAAAAGGGAAATGAAAATTAATTCTGATATTTCTTTAATATTGTTTTTATTTTAAGACCTACAGTTTAACATTATATACACTAAAAATAAAATTTAATTCTTACATCTCCAGTAAAATGACCAGTATGAGAACTTTTTGAAGGGAAGTAAATTGAAAACATTCTTTTCCCTACTATTTCATTTCTTGACAAAGCATCTTTAATACATTTTGATGCTTGCACTCTTCTCCACTTAGTATCCTCAGTTATCTAAAAAAAAGTTTTTTTAAAGAATTACCATTAATTCAATCATTGATTATAATTTAGTTGATATATGTATGTCTTGAATAGTAGATATAGGAATAAATTAAATCTCATTTAAATAATATAAGTTATACAAACAAAGAAATGAAACCTTAAAACTTGGGAACTTATAAAATTCCTTAATTTTTATTTGACAACTGCAGTTAAATTTCTTCGTGTCCTGAACCATTAAATAGCTTTTTGAAAAACTGTGATCTGATACCTATTAAGAAAATTGAACAAAAGAACAAAAAATCAAAGTTTTATACTTGAAATTATTAATTATAACAGCTATTTTGTAACAAATTAATACAGAAAAACAATAACCTTTTTCTCATTTAAACGAATTTTATAATCTTCCTTAGAAGAGACTTTTCGATCTTTCCCGTCACGGCTGTTTCAGAATGGACATACGGCTTGTTGTTATTTTTTGAAAATAATTACTTAGGGGGTGTTACTGAAACTTTCATAACTTTTGAAATATTTAAGAAAAATACGTTCTGTAAAAGGAATATGAACACTGACTAAATGTTTTATATTTTATTAATAATATAATAATCCAAGGCTGCTCTGATTTTTAAATAAACGCGCATAATGACGAACTTGGCAGAATTTCGAAATTTTAAAGGTACTTTTTAGCAAAAATAATCAGAAAAATTATATTTATGTTGACTAATATGTAATATAAACATAGTTAGACCAATTATAAAACATATTAACATTATTTACACCGAATGCAAATTAATACAGGCACTACAATAAACGTAATAAAAAAATCGCAAAAATTCTCCACGAGTCAAGAATATTCCGCTAAACTTTGTTTATTTTATTGTCTCGCCAAAGCAGAAGTTTAGTTGAAATTGCTAAGATAATTGCTTGGGACGTAACGCATTTAAGGTTACGTCATCGCTTTTTAAAATTTAAGCGAAAACTGAAAATATTTTTTGCTAAACATGCTAAGTTTGAAGAAATAATAGCTGACATAGCTAAAGGTACAGAAAATAGATTTTTTGTTTTCATATGCATAAAAGGTTAAAATTTCAATAACTTATGTTACTGATCAAAAATGTTAAACTTTACATTTAAAAATAATAAAATTAAATATATAAATGCAATAAAAAATTTTTCTTTTTGACAAATACACACCAGTAACGTTAGAATATGATAAAATAGACACTCATTAATAAGTGCTCTAAATTTCAACCGTTAAGCATGTAGCTATGTCAGGTAATCTTTGTTGGCCCAAGACAGGTTTTCATTAAAAATCTCAAAAAACAGAAAAGTGATCCCAAATCAATTTCAATATTTTAACAATATTTTATTATAGTCCATTTAATGTAAATATTTTTTTAATAAGGAAAGATCTTTTATTTATTTTTTATTGAAAGATGAAAGCATTTCTAGAAAAAAAATACTATTATTTTAAAGTTAGTGAATTTTTATACTTTTTATGCGGAAATACTTTTTTTTTTGCTAAACTTATGACGTCATGCCCACTTTTATATAGAGTGAAACAGCCGTGACAAACAAACAATGAAATTGATATTTCATAAAAAAACGTGCGTGTAGAGGAATGTTTTTAAACGAGTTATAAAACAAACATTAACATAAGCTTTTTATAATCACAATTAAAAATATTTTGTCTTAAAACTTTTAATAAGAACCTTTTAATAAAAGATTAAAATGTCTTGTATTACCTCTACTCAATGTTGTTTTTTCTAATAAGTTTAAATTATCATTATCTTCGGATAATGACTCATCACCTGATAATATTTTTTTTTCCATTTTTAAGTTTAGATATTTAATCTTCAATGATAAAGATCAATAAAACAAGTGAATGCGTGCTCAACCTTCTGAGAATATTAATTATATCATAATTATATCATAAATTAAATTATAAATCCAAAAATTAATTATGTTAACTTGTCCTGGACGTTAAGCGGGACAATTGCGGATTTGTTTACGGGACCTAACTTTACGCTATGGAATCATGTACTTACCGTAATCTTACTTCGTTTTGGCTTTGTTACAAGCATGAATTAGTAGTTTTTTACTGTATTCCTTCTTTATGTTTTTTGCTTTTTTAGAATGAATTAGAATTTTTATTTTGAACGATTTTGGAGTTATGTTATCGGATAAGCACTTTTAAAGAAAAACGAGTTGATTTTATAAGTTAATAATAAGTTGACTTAAATCTTTTGGCCTATAACATCAAAGTCTTTGTTTCCATGCGTGTGTGATTTTTTTAACTATAAGCAGAGGTGTGGAGTCGTAAAAAAAAAGTTAACAACTCCGACTCCAGTTATTGAAGTTTTTTGAGTACAACTCTGAATCCGACTCCAACTCCGACTATAACTCCAAAGCAAAATTTTTGAAAAATTCTTTGAATTCTTTAAAAAATATTACACAATAAGTTAAAAAAATTTTTTTTGAAAAATTTACGAAACGTTCTTTGTAGTTTAGTATGAACATAAGGTTAATTGAATGTTTGTGTATGCACGTGCAATACCGAGAAGTTTTAGGAGTTTTAGGAGGACTCCTACTATTGGAGTCGGAGTCGCGATTTTGTTTAGCGACTCCGACTCCGCTAAAAATGTCACAACTCTGCAACTTCGACTCCGACTCCACAACCCTGACTATAAACTTATAAACTTGGTTCCTTTCTATTATTTTATTTAATAATGCGGCAGTAATTTAAAAAAGATACAGTAAGCGAATATATCGACCAAACTTAGAGCTGTTAACGTATGCAAACTATAAATTTTTTCAGCATTCATCCGAGTCATATTTTACTAATGCGGAAAATATTTAGCAATAGGAAAGAGTGGGAAGAAGTGGGACACGTAAATTTTTTTTCAGGTTAACTGCAACAACTTTTATACTTGATGTATAAACTGAACTAAACAAGGTTTTACAAATAAACGTTCTTTTTAGACACCGATTCAATCCCACTTAGGTTTCCAGGCAGTTATAACTAAGTATATAACAAAATTATATTAAAATAACATTTAAACACAAGTTATTAAATAGAAACGGATAAAATCATAAAATCACCTAATCGATATAATATGTCAATTAATCGACATAATATGTCCAGAATATGTTTTGCCTTGACTTCGTCTTAATTTTGCATTAAAAGTATCAGCTTTAATCTCAATTTTTGTATAGGCAATAGGCTGAAAGGTTAGAAAACTGATATATCTCAATAAATATTTAAACTTGTGAAAACTTTTTCAAAAAATCCATAAAAACATAAAGTCTTAAATTTATATTTCTTTAGAACAAATTTATTTCAAATATATAAATGATATATAGTTAAATATTCAGTAAAATAACAAAACAAAAAAAATATAACAAATAAAACACAATATTTGTCATTTTTTTTAGAAAACAATTAACTTTATAGATACAACTTTTGTAATGAACGTACATTTCGAAATCAGTTATAACAACCGCCATTTACAGGACTGAGGCCTAGCACAGCCTATTATAAAGAAAATTATTTTATAATAGTTAAAAATATTTATTACTGATAGGGACAATTTAATATGTATTAAAAAAATTACATAACTCCATAGTAGACTGACAAATAGCCTGACTCGCAACGGAGTGCTGCTACATCGACTGAGGGTTTAGGCAGGCAGTCTATCAAATAATAAAAAAATATCAAAATAAAAAAAAAATTATTATGCTTAAAATAATTTTTTTTTTTTATTATTATAAATTTGGCGTTTAAAATAATTACAACTCTCGTATTTGTAAAATATACACATGGCGGGGGCAAGGAGAAGACAAAATAGTCTTATCGCCAAGCCTCCAATAATCCGTAAATAATATAGCCATCAAATCTTTTCATTAAAAATGTTGTCAAATATAAAAAGAAAAATATATATATTTTTAAATAACTCTAAACATTTATTTTTAATAAAAATTGAAGACTAAGCAAAAATAAAAATAAACAAACGAAAAAATATATATATATATTCAAGACTATATATAACAGTTTTTAATTATTGCAATTAAGAATTTCTAATTAGAAAATATAATGAAAAGAATTTAAGTTTTAAGGAAGAATTTTTAGATTTTCATAATAAGAAAATAAAAAATAAGTTTTTAAAGAACCAAATTTTTAAACCTTTGCAAATAAAATGAAAATATACTATACAATATTTTAAAAGCCAACAATTAAATATAGCTCTAGAAGAAGTCCTTTATGTTTTGATTAATTAAAATTATTTAAGTTTTGATGTCATTTCTAATTATTATACTCCATAATTGGGGGCCTCTAGCTGTGATAGAAAACTTAGTGGCTTCAAATTGAGTTTTAACTTGAATAGAATTATTGTTTGCATGTCTAGTATGATATTTGTGTTGTATTTTTTAAATAGCGTTTTAAAAATATTTGGCACCGTATCGTTATGGATTTTATACATAAAAATTAAATGATGATAAATATTTATTTGGTAATTATTTAAAATTTTTAGATTAATAAATAGTGGTTGTGAATGAGAGAGACAGTCTGCGTTGAATATTATTCTTATGGCATGTTTTTGTTTGTTGAATAGTTTGTTTAGTTTTTTTTTATTGGTGCTGCACCAAGCAATGTTAGCATAATTGAGATAACAATGGATTAAAGTAAAATAGATATATTTTAAGCAAATTTGATTTAGGTAAAGTGTTACCTTATAAAGTATGCCAATATTTTTAGAAATTTTATTTTCGATTAATTTTATGTGATTTATCCATGTGTCATTTTCGTCAAGAAGAACTCCTAGAAACTTCATTGAGTTTTCTCTTTTTATAAATTGATTCCCAATGTTAACATTTGCGAGCTTTAGAGGAATTTCGTCTCTTTGATAAAGGCGATGAAAAAAAATATACTTAGTTTTGGTTAAGTTTAATGACAATAAGGACTGAAGTTCCCGAAAAACGGTTCTTCGGTTCTTCGGTATTTTTCGGGGAATCGAAAGGAATCGAAGGTTTCGGTTCCTTATCAGAATAGGAATCGAAAAGAGCCGAAGTTATCGGTTCCTTATAAAAAAGGAATCGAAAAGAACCGAAGTTATCGGTTTCTTATCAAAATATGAATCGAAAAGAATCTAAGTTATCGGTTCTTTATCAGAATAGGAATCGAAAAGAACCGTAAATTGATTACTAACCTTTTTTTTAATAATATACTTCCTTTATAATCAATATTTTCGATTCTTTTCAATATTTTCAATATTTTCGGTAATTTCGATTCTTTGTAATAAAAACGGTAAATTTCAATTATTAATTAAAAAATCGTTTTTATTGTAAAGAATCGTTTTTATTACAAATAAGTTTTAATAATGGCGTGCAAAATTAAATTCAAATTCATTCAAGTTTAATTTCTCTCCCCTAAGGGATTAATTAAAAAATCGTTTTTATTGTAAAGAATCGTTTTTATTACAAATACGTTTTAATAATGGCGTGCGAAATTAAATTCAAATTCATTCAAATTTAATTTCCCTCTCCTAAGGGATTCCCCTTTACCAGTATAGATAGTGGAGTTTTGTGAAAATCTAATCAGTTACAATTTATTGTTTCACAAACAACTGTTTACAACAATTTACAATAATGTCTCAAGTTAATAATGCAATTTGGAATTACTTTAC